GACATGAGATTTGTGAGCCCGAGAGACTGGAGAGATTGATGACTGAGTTGGGGCCTAAGGGCCGTGTTGTGATATTGTGGATCGGGCTGCACGCCGCAGCAGGCCATATTGGCTTTATATATATTATCATTATATGGATCGGGTTGCACGCCGCAGCAGGCCTTATATGCTTTATTATTATTATTATTATTATTATTATTATTATTATTATTATTATTATTATTATTATTATTATTATTATTATTATTATTTATGAGATCGTTCTGCACACCACAATAGGCCATATTGGCTTTATATTAGTGCTTGGTCAGGATCCGCCTCTCCAGAGTCTGACATACCAGCAGTGAGTGCATGTACCGAATACTGAGTGATTGAGTGTACTGAGAGATAGAGTGTGCCGAGTAATTGAGTGTGTGACAGTGAGATTGAGTACTCTGAGAGTATGAGTATATGAGTTTATCATAGTGATGCATTACATTTTACATGCATACTCGGCATATATGCATAGAGATGCATTTCCTCATGCTATACGATATTGCGATATTTCTGACATCACATGCACATTGACATGTAGGCATAGAGATGTACTTTCCTCATGCTATCTGAGAATGAAATATCTTATCTGTTGTTGAAGGATTTTGAAAAAATTACAGTTTTGTGATATACTCATATTTTGGTGATTTCGGTGAAAGATTTGAGTTTTACTATTATACCTGATAAGCATGCATGTTTTCTGTAACTGTGAATGAGCTAAGCATAATAACTTTGAGTTATTACTTGCACTGCTTTTATTATATTGATATGAGTTGTTCTTGGCCTTTGGTGCTGGACTTTGACCTTCTCCCGAGCTTGTCACTACTTTCAACCTAAGGTTAGGTCTGTTACTTATTGAATACATATGATCGGTTGTACTCATACTACACTTCTGCACATTGAGTGCAGATTTTGTAGCTTCTGTTATTGCACGTGGCGGGAGCTGGCATTGAAGATGTACCTGTATTCCGGTTATAGTTGTCTCTTGTTCTTGGTAGCTTTAGATTTATAAATCTGTTTATGTACATTTCGAACAGATGATGTATTTATTTCATACCAACTTTGTAAATTCTATGTCTTAGAAGCTCATGATTTATACTACAGTCCTTGGGTTATTGTATTAAAGTTCATCTATTTTATCGTTTATCTTCTCAGTAAATCTTATTTGAATTGAGTTGTTGTTAACTGGCTTACCAAGCGGGTAGGGTTAGGTGCTATCACGACTAGTTAGACTTTGGCTTGTGACAGGTCTGGGCAGGGTAGTATATACGCAGACCTTACCCTACCTAATGCAGGTAGAGAGGCTGTTTTTAATAGACCCTCAGCTCGGAAAGAGTGAGAAGAAGAAGAAGAAGAAGAAGAAGAAGAAGAAGAAGAAGAAGAAGAAGAAGAAGAAGAAAAGCAAGAAAGGAAGAGAGAAGAAAAAGAGAGAGATAAAGGATAAGTAGCACCAAATAATAGCAACATGGAATACAATACCTAAGGCGAACAAAATCACATAATGCAACAAAATCTGAGAATATGAAGGGACATGCGTGCTACTAACACTATCTGTGAGCAACTAAGAAACTACCTACCTATCTTCTACCCTAATCCTCGACCTTCATACCCTCCTATCAAGGATCATGTCCTCATTGAGCTGAAATAGCGCCATGTCGTGCCTAATTACCTCTCTTTAGTACTTCTTAATCCTACCTAGACCTCTTCTCAAACTCGTCATGGCCAACCTCTCACACCTCCTAATAGGAGCATCAATGCTTCTCCTCTTAACATATCTAAATCATCTTAGCCTCGACTCCCGTATCTTGTCCTCCATGGAGGCTACTCCTACTCTGTCCCGAATAGCTTCATTCTTGATCTTATCTCTCCTGGTACACCCATACATCCATCTCAAAATCCTCATCATGCTACTTTCATCTTCTGCACGTGGGAGTTCTTGACTAGCCAACACTTAGCCCCATACAACATAGTCTGTCAAACCACCACCCTATAAAACTTACCCTTAAGTCTTGGCGGAACATTCTTATCACATAAAACACCGGAAGCGAGCCTCCATTTCATCCATCCCGCTTTAATGTGATGTCTGACTTTTTCGTCAATCTCCCTGTTACCTTGGATAATATACCCGAGATACTTAAAACTAGCTCTTTTGGGGATAACTTAAGCATCAAGCTTTACCTCTATGTCTGTTTTAAGGGTCCCATCACTGCATTCGCACTCCAAGTATTCTGTTTTGGTTCTGCTCAACTTGAAACCTTTAGACTCCAAGGTTTGTCTCCACACCTCCAACCTCCCGTTAAGAGTCAACAAATAAAAAAATGCATATCACTTAGTTATGATCAATTGTTGAAAAGTATATAACCAAAACATATATTTTGTATTTATTTGTTTAGTATAAATACTCAATGCGCATAAATTTTACCTACTCACTATGTTCTAATTTTTCTTTGTCGACACTTCTCGTTTATTGAAACTTAATTCATTGGTCAATACTACCTCAACGTCTAACAGTAATACTACAATTTTAACGCACTTGAAGTCGACTATATAAGTTCTCCTTATTCCCGTCATTTCATTTGGACTCGTCTTAATCTCATACTCAATAATTTTGGTTGTCTAATATCAGTAGAAGTTCTCTGGTGAAAAATAATAATAATAATAATAATAATAATAATAATAATAATAATAATAATAATAATAATAATAACAACAACAGAAGTTGTCTACATTTTTTTTGGCATATAAATATCTAACAAGATTAAAAGATTCTTCTAGTAAATATTGGACCTAAATGTATATACCTACATGACTAGACCTTAATCCTAAGAACTTGACAAATAAGTGTCTTAATAATTAGACACACAAATTATCTGACAGTAACCTTCCACTCTCAACGGTAATATTTTTTAGCGAGTAAATCACACGCTCCTCCCCATGGACCCGCCGGACGGCGCCATTCCGGTGCGTATGGATTGGTAAAACGCTTCTACTAAAAAGGCGAAGCAACCCATTGAAGCAATTGAAGGCAAAGGCAACATCTCCTATGCGACCACAGTTACAAACTCCCCAAATTCAACCGTGTGCCCTAACCGCCATGAACGGGACTCTGTAATTGCAACACACACCACACACAATGGTATGTCGGCAATCATGTTCAAAGCGTCAGAATACTATGGAATCATGGCTTCCGAATGCAGATTCACTCTAGTTGGCAGATTTCTTGAACCTCGGCCCCAAATAGATCAGATTAGGTCTAAATTTAAGGAATTGATTTCTCTAAAAGGATCGTCCAAAGTTGGCGTGTATGACAATTTCAATGTGTTTCTAGATTTTACTAATGAAGACGATTTTTCCACGGTTTGGTTCAAACGAGTTATAGAGATTGAGGGACAACAGATATGGCTTCAGAAGTGGTCACCGGATTTTAAGCCAGAGGAGGATCTCCCGATTTCTCCTGTTTGGGTTCTTCTTCCTGGCCTCCCTTTTCATATGCATACATGGCAGTATGTAAAACAAGTGGTTAGCGCTGTGGGAACTCCGCTCGAAGTGGACTTAGCGACTAGGGGCAGAACAAGAAAGTGTAGCTAAGGTTAGAGTTGAAATTGATTTGTTAAAACCACAACCAGATTCTGTGTATGTGGGACAAGTATATGAAAATGCTCCTCAAAAAGGATTTGTTCAAAAACTCGAGTATGAAGGAATTCCTAAGTACTGCAAGTACTGCAAATAATTGGGTCACAATTTGCTAAATTGCCGGGCAATTGAAAGGAAAAAAGCAGCAGAGGACAAAGAGGCTATTGAAGCAGATCTTACTACAATCAATGAGAAGGGAAAGGCTCAAGGAATTATGGATGGCAATAGATGCATAGGTACAGAGCAAAAGCCAAAGCTTATGGAGAATGATGCTACCAAACAAGATACAGAGAAGAAGGCGACCAAACAAGTTGAGGAGAAGGAAAAGTTTCAGTAGAATGGTATTCTCCAAAACAGTATGGCCATTCAACACAATGAACAGAAGGATGAAATCAATGACATCAAAACCAGAACTTCCAAAAAGAAGGGGAAAACCAGCAAAAAAAAGAGACTCCCCCAAATGAAATCCAAAGTGACATTTAAACCAATATGGTGTCAAGTCAGCGGCAACAAAAGGTTTAACAAAGGCAAGGAGGATCAAGCCAATCGACAACAACAAGAACATGGAAAAAAGGATGAAAGCAGTGATGGTGGTGTGGACCTTGATAAAGGAAACAATGAAGATAATAGGGACAATGACTCTAGCAATAACTCCAAAGAGTGTAGTAATCCATTCAAACAAACAGAAATTTTGAAGGGTCTGAACAGGTGGTGCAAGAATCCTCTAACATTCAAAGAAATATGGCTCAAGAAAAGGAAGGGTGCAGTCAGCATACCAACATTCAACATGATCAACATGACCTAACCAAATACCTCACAACTAATGAGGGATCAGTCAGCATACCTTCAGAGATCAAAGAAATGCCGGGGATTAATATGGTGGTTCAACTAGACCTAGAATCTCCACAGTCATCGACAAATAAACCTTACTCTACGAAGAAAAACGATCAACAGATAGAGGTGAATTCACCAAATAAGGTGACGGTGAGGATTTCTGAAGACCAAAAACATAACGCCCAAAGTAACCAAGAAGATAATGAGGGATTCTCACTGGTCCAAAAGAGCAAAAACAGAAACAGAAGCAAAAAGATGGGAAAGAAAACTACAGAGAAGCAGAACTCTTCCATTGTGGAAGGGAGTACAAACTAATCTTCCCTGGACTTCATGATTAATTCCATCTTTTGGAATAATAGAGGGGTGAAATCAAAAAAGCCATTCCCATGCTTAAAAAACTCATCAACTTGTACAAAGTGGAACTTGTAGCAATTTTTGAACCTTTTGTTAGTATTAATAAAATTGACAAATATATGAAATTCCTTGGCTTTCAACACAGTATGGCTAACACGACTGGTCAGATTTGGTTCCTTTGGTCAGGGAACTATCAAACAAGTGTGGTCGACAATAAGGAGCGGCAGCTTACTATGAAGATGCAATACACCCCCGCTAATTGTGATCTATATCTCACTGCAGTTTATGCCAACTGTACTGAGAATGAAAAGAGAGAGCTTTGGAGCAGTTTGGAAGACATCCACACTCACATCAAAGGTCCTTGGTGCATTGGGAGTGACTTCAATGTAATTCTAGACCCAGATGAAAAAAAAGGGGGCAATCCTCACATAATGCACAGAAGCTTTGAGTTCAGTAGTTGTATGGACAATTGCAAGGTGGTGGATTTGGGGTTTGTAGGCCCTAAATTCATGTGGTGCAACAACTGGAGAGCTAGAAAAAGGATTTCGAAGAGACTTGACAGAGTCTTTGTTAACGACCTATGGACCCAACTTTTCCAGATTAATATGGTCAAGCACCTTGGTAGAACTGGATCAGATCATAGGCCTCTCCTCATCAAATGTGAAAAGGAACCTCAAGCTGGCGTCAAATACTTCAAATTCCTAGATTTTTGGGCTGAGCAGCCATCATTCATGAACCTGGTAGAAGAGGTTTGGAGCACTCAAGTTCCTGGAAAACCCATGTGGAGGCTACAACAGAAATTGAAACTTCTTAGTAAGAGTCTCACTAGATGGTCGAAAGAGAAGATTGGGAATGTTTTTGAACAAGTTAACATATGGGAAGCAAAAATGGTAAACTTGGAAGAGATTGACACTCTTAACAACACAGATCAATCTAGAGAGGAGCTCAATAAAGAGCAGGCAGAATACATCAAGTGGCTAGGTATGCAAGATGCCATCCTTAGACAGAAAGCGCAGCAGAAATGGTATGAATAAGGGGATAGCAACACCAAATACTTCTATAGTTTAATTAGAAACAGGAGATGTAGGCTCCATCTTCACACGATCAAGGATCATAATGGCTCATGGGTCCAAGGGGGTGAAAATATTTCAAAGGTGGCTATGCATCATTTCAAGCATCTGCTTAACCTTCAGCATCAATTCAGTAATCATGAGGTCCTCAACTGTATTCCTAAATGTATCACTGAGGAAGATAATGATCTTCTCAAAGCAATACCTGACGAGGATGAGATCAGAGATGCCGTGTTTAGTATGAATGCTTCAAGTGAAGCGGGACCTGATGGTTTTAATGGCACCTTCTATCGAAAATGCTGGAATATCATCAAGAATGATATTGTAGACTTTGTGCAGAACTTTTTCAATGGCAAGGGCATGACCAAATTCTATAATCATACATGTCTGATTCTAATCCCTAAAGTCGACTCCCCAACCAACTTCTCTGAGTTCAGGCCTATTAGTCTGAGCAACTTCACCAGCAAAATCATTTCTAAGATTCTTTCTAGATGACTGAACCCTATGCTTGAGAAAATAATTTCCATTAATCAAAGTGGTTTCGTCAAGGGCAGGATGATTACTGACAATGTGCAACTAGCACAAGAAATTGTCCACAACATAAGGCAGAACAACAATGGGGGTAATGTGGTTATCAAGCTGGATATGGCTAAAGCCTACGATAGAATGTCGTGGAATTTTCTAATGGCCGTCATGAGAAAATTTGGTTTTTCAGAAGTTTGGATTGATATCATTTGGAGATTAGTTAGCGATGTGTGGTATTCTATCATCATTAATAGGTCTAGAAAAGGGTTCTTCACATCTTCGCAAGGTCTCAAACAGGGTGACCCGCTATCTCCTCCCATGTTCATTATTGGAGCTGAGGTACTGTCCAGGTCCTTAAACAACCTTGCTACTCACAACAACTTCACCCCATTCTCCATGGACCATAGAGGTCCTATCATTACACACCTTGCTTATGCCGATGACATAAT